AGTAGCTCCTGGATGGGGAGGGAGTTCTGCCTGCAGAACTCGAGTTTACAAGATTGTTCACTGTTAAACCTCGGTGGTGGTTCTGTGGTGCTTTCTGAGACCAGGCGATAGAGACCCTATCCTTCCCGATGCTTACATTTCAAAGGAATGGCTCTGGTTGTTGAGAATGATGCCCCTAAATTGTGATATGCAAACATCTTAAAAGGATAACTGTAGGCATTTTTAGTAAATACTATAAGAAAGAGATATCAGAAGTCAATTACTAGGTGTTGGCCATAATAAATAGCAAGTTCTGGTGACAGCACTGTACTTTCTCAGGCTAGTGTCATTTTAGGGACATGACCATTGCTGCTAGCTAGAAGCAGGAAGGTCTGTTTTTCTTTGCTTTTATGCTGGCCATGGAGCTTAAGTATGGGTCTGGGCACTGCCCCGGAGCTTTTGTGCTCAAGGCTGGCACTCAGCCACTTGAGCCACAGCTCTACTTCTGGCTTTTTGGTGCTTAATTGGAGGTGAGAGTCTCAAAGGATTTTCTGCTTAGACTAGCTTTGAACTGCAGCCCTCAGATCTCAGCCTTTTGAGTAGCTAGAGTTATAGGTGTGAGCTACCAGTTTAAAACAGAAGTTTGGATGGCGGTAGTCTATGCCACACGTTCTACATTTCTTAGTCCTTTCCTTCCATCCCCTAACCCCAGGAATAATCACTTTTTTTAAAAAAAAAGAGGGGGAGGGTTGGCTGGGCACCAGTGGCTCACACCTGTAATCCTAGCTACTCAGGAGGCTGAGATCTGAGGATCATGGTTCAAAGCCAGCCCAGACAGAAAAGTCTGTGAGAGACTCTTATCTCCAATTAACCAACTGAAAACCGGAAATGGTCCTATGCTCAAGTGGTAGAGTGCTAACCTTGAGCTGAAGAGCTCAGGGACAGCGCCCAGATCCAGAGTTCAAGCCTCACAACTGACACACACAAAAAAAGGTTGAGAACACAGCTCAATAGTAGAGTGCTTGCCTAACATGCAGGAGCTCCTGAGGGAGGAGGGTAGGACCAAATATATCCCTTCTAAAAAGAAAACGTAAGATGTTTGGGGGCCTCCTGGGCTCATACTTGTAATCCTAGCTATTCAGGAGGCTGAGATCTGAAGATGTTTTTGAAGTCAGTGCAGGCAGGAAAGCCCACAAAACTCTTTATCTTGAGCTAACCATCAAAAAGTATGATATAGAACTGGCTAAATTAAAACAAACTGTGGCTAGTGATTTCCATTATTGGACAGTAAAGTTTAGGGAATGCCTTTATCATAAAGATCTCGTACACACTCAACTTTGACCTCTTCAGTACAACACAAAAATACTTCTCAGTACCCACTGCCATTACTGTCACCTCTCCTTCTTCACTTCCTGTTTGTTTTTGCAAAAAATTTATGCCCCCATAAAATCCGTATCAATTTCTGCTGCCAGTCTACAGAAATTGCAAATCTAAATCACAGACATCTGGCTCTGGGTTATTTATCTTATTTTGTATCTTCTCAAGTCAACATCCTGGGTTTCTTCTTTGGTAGTCAGCTACTGCATTCCTTCACAGACTGTCTTTACTGTCTATTATGCGCCAGAACTTCAGGTTGTGATTTAATTTTTGTTGTTGTTGTTGGTCGTGGGGCTTGAACTCAGGCCTGGGTGCTGTTCCTGAGCTGGGTTTCTTCTTTGGTAGTCAGCTACTGCATTCCTTCACAGACTGTCTTTACTGTCTATTATGCGCCAGAACTTCAGGTTGTGATTTAATTTTTGTTGTTGTTGTTGGTCGTGGGGCTTGAACTCAGGCCTGGGTGCTGTTCCTGAGCTGGGTTTCTTCTTTGGTAGTCAGCTGGTGCATTCCTTCACAGATGGTCTTTACTATTATGTGCCAGATTTTCAGATGGTGATTTAAAAGAAAGTTGGTTTTTTTTTTTTTTTTGTCATGGGGCTTGAACTCAGGGCCTGGGTGCTGTCCCTCAGCTCTTCAGCTTAAGGCTAGCACTCTACCACTTGAGCCACAGCGCCACTTTCCCGTTTGGAGATCAGTCTTATGGACTTTCCTGCCCGGGCTGACTTTTGAACTGCAGTCCTTAATCTCAGGCTCCTGAGTAACTGGGATTACAGGTGTGAGCCACTGGCGCCCCGCTGTGCTATATACTTTTCCTGAGCTTTGGACACTCTCATGCTGTGTATTTTCCTGAGCACCCTCGCCCAGGTGCGTGGCTCCAGCCCACTGTGGATGAATATTACTTCTTCCCTGGTGCTATGTCCATACATTCCTCATAGATCACACCCTGAGATCCAGAAGTCTCACAAATGCCACTGGTTTATTCTAGGTGAAACCTAGTTTGCTCCAGATTTGCTAGATTGCATCCCCTTTTTCTAAATCCTACCCTTCATTTAAAATGTTGAGAAATGCTTTGATAACATTTTAATTGCATTTTCTTTCATCACTTTTGATGGAAAATGTCTGAGAGAGATCTTAGTGCTTTTGCTTCAGCTTAGCCCTGATTCCACCCTACTTCAAGAATCTTCTACATTGGCTCTGTTTAGTAGCACTTTCAGTGATGATAGAAATTTCTACATTTTCATCTGTCAGTAGGATAACTACTAGCCGTGTGTAGTTCTTGAGCTCTGAAAATGTGGTTTGACTGAGGAACTAATTTCATTTGGATGTTGTAGGGGAGAGCAGGACACTGTGTCCCTTTGTTTTCTTGGCTGGGTCTGACTTCCTGGGTTCAGGATCCTCAACCTCTTGAGTCCCTGGGATTTGAAGATTTGAACCTCGATCCTCAGATTCTAGCCTCTTGTCCAGGCTGGACCGGCACCACCAGAGTACCAAGGGAGGAAGGGGGAAACCATGGTTTTAGAAGAGACCTGCTTCCTTTTCCTTCCTTCCGTCCCTCCCTCCCTCCCTCCTTCCTTCTTTCTTCCTTCCCTTCCTTCTGTTCCTTCCTCTGGGTTCCAGTACTAGGGGTTGAACGCAGGGCTTGGGTGCTTTCTCTTGGCTTTTCTGAAAGGGTGTTCCTTTACCACTGAGCTATACCCCCACTTCCTGCTTTTTGGTGGTTACTTGGAGGTAAGCATCTCATGATAGACTTTCCAACCCTAGCTGGTTTCAAACTGTGGTCCTAGATTTCAGCTTTTGAGTAGCTAAGATTAGAAGCATGAGCCGCTGCTAGCCAGCTGCCCTGCACTGGTCCACAGCCCTTCCCTCAGCAGGCATCTCTGATGTGGGTAGAGTCAGGGAGCCCAAAGGCTCCACGAGCAAGAGATCGGGTATTATTATATTACCTAATATAATGGTGTTGACGGTTTTCTCTGCTGTTTTCCTGTTTTGCTTCTGTCTTCTACCATCTATTCTAGCTTACATTTATTCTGCCTCCTATTCCCACTTCTTTTTGGGAGGAGGATGGGCTTGAACTTGGAGCCTGGCCACGGCCCTGGAGCATCTTTGCTCTACCACTTGAGCCACAGCGCCACTTCCAGCTTTTTGGTGGTTAATTGGAGAAAAGAGTCTCACAGGCTTTCCCCTCCCGGCTGGCTTTGAACCACGACCCTCAGGTCTCGGCCTCCTGAGTAGCTAGGGTGACAGGCGTGAGCCACCGGGCGACCCTCAGGTCTCCGCCTCCTGAGTAGTTAGGATGACAGGCTTGAGCCGCCGGCGCCCGGCTCCTTCCCCCACTTCTTTTGCCGTCCTGCCTCTTCAGGTAGCGATCACGTATTTGGTCCGTTAGGCCAGCTCTGCACTATTTTTGTTTTAGTTCTACCTATTAACCTCTGTTGCTATCTCATTCTGCTTAAGATAGAGGCAGAGAGGTGGGAATTTGCAGGCAAGTGGGGGCGCTCACTTCAATGCCTGGCATCTCCACGCCAAGTGCTGCCCACGTCTAAGCAGAGGTAAGCCACCCACATGACAGCGGCCTTCAGTGCGTCCCCGTCTCTCCCCTGGCAGATCAAGGTACCTCTTAAAACAGTGGTTTCCAGTCAGTTTGGGACATTTGCCCTGGAACCCACACCAGGACTATGTGGCGCCTCAAAGCCCAGTACTGCCCAGTGGACCGTCAGAAGGCTCTTTGCAGAGCCTGAAACCACTGGGAAGCAGGCTCCGAGAGAAGTGGGCGGGCTGAAGTGGCTGTGTATTCACAGCCGGTGGCTTTTTGATGTGAACAGCCCATTGTGTCAGCTGTGACTTTGTCTTCTCAGACCTGTGGAGCGATCCAAGAGCCAGTTGGGTTCGTAACTCCAGGTCTCTCACCTCTTCTGTGTCAGTCTTACTCACGCATTGCTGAGACACAATACAGGAGAAAATCCACTTAAAAGACAAAAGGTTTATTTTGAGTGATGGTGTCAGAGGTCTCTTATTGTGGATCGTCTCCGTTGCTTTGGAGCTGAGTGAGCCAGACTGCATTGCAGTGGGTAGGAGGTGACGGAGCAGAGCCTCATCTCAGGGCAGCAGAAAGCGGAGAGAGGAAGAAAGGGTCTTCTGGGGCGATACACCCTCTTCCAAGGCATGCCCCCAGGGCAAGCATTTCCCTCAATCACCCTGCTGGTAGAACACCTCTGCACTAGACCAGACCCTTCGAGCCTTCCCGCTTTCTCAGGATAGACCCAGGGTCCTATGCCTTGTCCTGCCAGAGCCTGGCTCCAACGCTGTCCCACATCACTCTGCTGGAGCCTGAGTGCAGGCGTCATGCTCAGTAGAGAAGGGTGTGTGTGTGTGGTGGGGGGGGAGGGCCTGGGCTCTCAGGTTCACGGCAGGCGAGGGCCTGCATTTATACTGCACTCTGGCACATTCTAACAGTCTGCTTTCAAAGGAAGCCAAAATTCCTGCCTCCAGTGCTAAGTATTTGCTCTGCTATACATGCTTCTTTAGAGCTCCGCTGGCCCCTTTCTTCAGGAGGACTAACGCAGTCTGGCTTCGCTAGAGCCCTTCTTGCCTCCACGCTGCGTTCCCTGTAATCCCAGGAGCGAGCCAGGCTATGGGGCATCTCCTCACACCTTCTTGGTGCCTGGGGGCTGGCGTCCCGGCTCAGAGGAGGACCCCAGGGACTCAGGGGCAGACACCCCGGGACAGGCCTCCTCTGGGGCAGCCGGGAGCCGCGCCGGGTGGCTTTTGCTGCAGTGAGCAGCAACACTGTCTGGCTTCTCGAAGCGCTTGCCGCAGAAGTCGCATGGGAAGCGCAAGGTGGCTGCTGTCTCTGCATGCTTACGCCGGTGCCAGTTCAGGGAGGCCTTCTGGCGGCAGGCAAACCCGCAGATCTCACACCTGCAGCAGGGGCGGGGGGGGGAGGAAGGGGCTGCGGGCTCCAGGGATTCCTCCTGTGCCCCACTGCCAGGCTGCCAGTGCCATGCCGCCCCCACGGCCCCAACACCCACTGCCAGGCTGCCAGTGCCGTGCCGCCCCCACACCCCCGACACCCACTGCCAGGCTGCCAGTGCCGCCCCCACACCCCCGACACCCACTGCCAGGCTGCCAGTGCCGCCCCCACACCCCCGACACCCACTGCCAGGCTGCCAGTGCCGTGCCGCCCCCACACCCCCGACACCCACTGCCAGGCTGCCAGTGCCGTGCCGCCCCCACGGCCCCGACACCCACTGCAGAGGTTTTTCCCCCGGTGTGGATGGGTCTCAGACACCCCACCCCACCGCCCTGAGACCCTCCTTCCCGACACTCACTGCAGGGGGTTCTCCCCGGTGTGGATGCGTCTCAGACACCCCCCCACACATGGCCTGCGACCCTCCTTCCCGACACTCACTGCAGGGGTTTCTCCCCAGTGTGGATGCGTCTGTGGATGACGAGGTTGCTGCTGGTGCGAAAAGACCGGGCACAGAACTCACAGATGTAGTCGCGGGTGTCTGTGGGCACAGGAGGGGAGCTCCAGCCACACCCTCCTTGCCACCCCTGCCCACCATGTCCAGACAGCTGAGCGAGGCAGGCACACAGGAAGCGCGCCTGGCCAGACTGCTGCATGGTCATCAGCTGCGCTCTCCTCAAGTGGAGGTGACCTGAGTCCCTCCGTGGAGACTCAGGGAGTGGAATGCTAGTCTGTGTGCGTGGTTAGGAAGCGGGCTCATGCAAGCGGAGGGTCAGGGACTGGAATTATAATTTAAGCCCAACCCCAGGGACCCCCGCGTGTGGAATCATCTTCCCACCAGGCTGGCCTACCTTACCTCTCCACATCCCCTTCCCTGCCTTTCAGGCCACTAATCTCTCCTTTTCCTGTACCCACCCTTCCTATTGGCTCCAGTAGCCCCTGCCCGTTGCCATGGTTACTGCATCTCCAACAGCTCTCACGGGCTGCTGTGGCTTCTCCTGTACTACAGCCTACAGTGCAACAGCTATCCTTGCTTCTCTGAGTGCCTTCAGGCCTCTCCGCTAACCAACGCAGCCTCCCCCTGGGCTCCCGGCTCCATGCCGCCCACCGGGCAGCCACCATCCTGCCTTGGGGCAGCCTAACCCCCTTTGGTCCCTGACACCCCTCCCCCACCCCTCAGCAGCTCCCAGGGGACACAGGAGCCCTCCTACCTGTGACCACGCTCCTCTACCTGGCCCCAGGGTGGTGACCTCATGATTCCAGACCCCCAGCCCCATTACTGCCTCTGCTCTCGGCCATTCACTGCCACACTGCCTGCCCCTTCCCTCCGTGCACTCTGCTCTGCTCTGCTCAAGCCTGCTCCAGACCTGAACCCAGGGCGGCACGGCTCCCCGTGGCCTCCCCTCGCGCCCGGCCCTGTGTGTGCGCTCCCCTGGCTAGGTCTGTCTCTGCACCTTCTCCATCCGCATTCAGCAGTGCTCTTATGCTTTAAAGTCAACGTGTGCATGAGCCTCCCACTGTCCACACTGTCTGGAGCCCGCTCCATTCTGGCTGTCCTTGCTACACTGCAACCATTTGCCGGTTCTGTCTTGTTCTCTAATCTAGGAAGATCTCAGGGCTACGTTTGGTGGGATGTTCGAACCCTCACCTTAGTGTGCCCTGGCTGGCAAGTCGCCTTCTGCACTTGTGTCTTCAAATGCCTCTTCCGTTCCCTTCCTCTCCTCCCACCTCAGGCCTTTTCTCCACTACCTCCCTACGCAGGAACATTCTAGCCGTACACTCTAGCCATACATCTTGCTCAAATTCTACATTCACATCTTCTGGAATACCTAATCACCTTCTCTGATTTCAGGACCTCACACCATGGTCTGCCCAGCTGCTCGGGCTGGAGTCCTGAGTCTCCCCAAGCTCCTTGTCTGCCTTGGGACTAGCCCACTCTTACCCACCCAGCCTGTCTGCCACCCCCTGCACACACACGAGCCTCCAGCCACGGCTCACCAACCAGCATCACCATCCACGCGCACGAACTCAGGAGCTCACCTGCCACCAACTCCCATTTCCACCCATCTGCAGGCCCTGCTCTCCACACAACAGGTACAACAAAGTCTCCTCGCACTCAAGGCTAGAGATGCCATCCTGACTCTGACCTTCCTAACGTGTGCTTAGAACACACCAGACCCCCGTTCCCCACTCCTCTCAGGTCTTCGCCAGAGTCTTCCTTTTCCTTGCGGGTACCAGGGCTTCACCCTCCCTCGCTAGCCTGGGAACACGAGCCACACCTCCAGCGCCACTGGCTGCTGGCTAATTGGAGTCTTGGGAACTTTTCCATCTGACTGACTTCAAACCACAGTCCGTTGGCTCTCAGCCTCCTGAGTAGCTAGGTGTGAGCCACCAATGTCCAGCAACATTTCTACAGAAGCAGCTTGTCCTTCGTGTTCTGCTCTTCTGGCTTTCAGTGATGTCTCACAGGAGCGTATGCTACCTTCTTTGCTCACGACTTTAGCGGCAACTACGTGTCTTGAGCAGACACGTGGACGTGGAATGGGGGAAGAGTGGTTGCTGGGGGAGGGAAGGGTGCCACCGCGGGGCAGCGCAGCGCCAGCACTCACCACTGTGCAGCTTCACGTGCTCCTTCAGGTGCTTCTTAAAGTTGAAGGACTTCCCGCAGGCTGGCTCCGGACAGCAGAACGACTTCTGGTGGAGGTGCTGGTACTTCTTGTGGTGCTGGAAGGAAGGTAGCGGTGGAGAAGGTATGGGGGACTGGCTGAGCTGACCCAGCGGGCCCGGGCCCCAGACACCCTCCTGCTCCCCACACCGCAGCCATCCGCCATTGCCTGACCCTGTCCTCACCTAGCCAGCCTACCAAACTGCCCTGTTCTGTGCTTGCCTCCCATCCACCCATTTCCTCGCCACACCCTGCAACGTTTTGCAGTGTTCCTGTGCCTGGTGCCTCTCTGGGCACATTCCTCCTTCCCCAGCACAGGTCCAGTCAGCAGAAGGAACACTGTTTGGGTGACCGTGTTTATTACGTCAGTATGCAGCTCGCTCTCACACACTCTCTCTCTCTAAAATAACTTTAATGGGTAAGGGCTTTGTTTCCCCCGCTTTGTTTTAAGTGCTAAAGATCTAATCTAGGGCCTCAAATACTGTAGGCAAGTGTTCTACCACTCAGCTATACCCAGCCTGGGCAATGGGCCTACATCAACTTTAATCCTCCATTTATCTTTTCATCTGACCTAGTTTTGCATCTTGGATCATCATCATGTTAGAGCTCTCCCCCTTTTCCATGCTCCTGGTTTACCTCCAGTTTAGTCTCCTCCACAAAGCTCAAGCATCCTTCTTACAGTCTCAATGTTGCATTGGGACTTTCCCTGTTTCTCCACCACGCCTTGCAGTCCCTTTGGCTCTCGGCCCCTCACCCTCAGGGCCTGCTCGGCCAAGGGTCCAGGCCCAAACTCCCTGCGTGGTGTGGTTTTCCCTGCTCAGATGCCTCTCAAGCCACATGGCCCTGCGTGGTGTGGTTTTCCCTGCTCAGATGCCTCTCAAGCCACATGGCCCTGCGTGGTGTGGTTTTCCCTGCTCAGATGCCTCTCAAGCCACGTGGCCAGGCGGGCTGGGTCGGGGCTCAGAGCTCCAGCTAGCACCAGCAATGCGTGCCTCGGGGCCAAGTGGGAATAACATCAGCACCGTGTCCCTCCCGGGGGGTGTGGTGAGGGCCAGGGCTCACATTCGCTATCAGGCCACAGAGCCCGAGGAATGGCACTGTCAGAGCGGCACTGGACCGGGGTGCTGCGTGCCTGAAGCTTCATGTTCTGCCTCCCGGTCATTTAACGATCATTACAGGAAAGCTGTTCGCTTCTGGACTCCAAATCCCAACAACCCCAGATGGTCTCCTCCCCCTGCTTTTTGTTGTTCTTTTAGTGGTACCAGGGACACGTCCAGGTCCTTGTACATGGTAGGCACTGAGCTATGCCCGAGTGGGCTTCCTTTCTTCAGCTTTTCCCCAGTCGCAGTGGCCGTAGGCCTCAATCTCGGCCCTCACGTTCAGATACTGCCGGTTGGAGAAGATCCTTCCGCAGCCAGCGAAGTCACAAGGCATCAGCTCTCTTCTGGCAGCTTTCCTGAGGGAGGAAAGTACGGAACGGCAGGACTCCTACCTGCTCTCCTCTCCTCCCCTCTCCCCTCCCCTTCCCAGAGTCCTACTCCCCAAATCCTACCGAATTCTCTTGGGCCCAATCTGTGCAGCATCCTCATCACGGGCTGGAGCTGGAGCTGACCGCACCCGGCTCCCAGGGCTGTGGGCAGCAAAGAAGGAGCAGAGGGCCTCTAGGGACGCGCATTCAGGACACCCCTGCACTCCACCTGGGCCAACAGGTTACCTGGCCAGAGGCTCCGTCTGCTGGGCTGCCAGAGGGGTCCTGCTCAGATCAACTCCGGAACCGGCTGCGAGTGCGGGTGAAGAGCAGCCAGCAAGAGGAGTGGGGAGAGCCTCCGGAGCAGGCGCCGTCGGTGCCGCCTCAGCCGGGGAGCCAGCAGGGGCGCGGGATGGCCTGCCGACATCTGGTTCACTGCTAAAAGGAGAACCGGGAGTTGGACGTGACCCCTCTGGGCATGCAGCGAGTCCTCCCCAGCCTTAACCGCAGCTAACAGATCTCAGATCCCCATCACACCTGGCTTTGCTCACAGCCTCCATCTCCCCCAGCCCTGCCACAGGACCGCCCCACAAGCCCAGCTCCACGTGACCAGGCCAACGCCGCCCCTCTCCTGTCCCACAACCCCAACTGGCTCATCTGGGGAGGAGCTGTAGGTCCATGGGCTGGCATCGCTGAGCATCTCCTTTTCATCCTCATCGTCCTCGTCTTGTTCCTCTCCGGGGGACGGGACGGGCTCTGCCGGGGGTGCTGCCCCCCTGGAAGCCCAAGGAAGGCAAGCATGAGCTTCTGCCCCACCCCTACTATCTGACAAGTCCGGCCCGACCAGCCCGCCGCCGTGCTCACCCGGGCAGTTTGGCTTCTTGAGTTCTCTCTTGCTCAGACCCCAAACCTGTTGGCACAGACAGGGTCAGAGGGAAGGCGCGCTGGGGCCACGCAGTGAGGGGGTTCTGAGGTCTGGAGGAGGAAGGGAGGGCGCGGCACAAAGGCTACTGGAACGGGGGAGGGGATTTGCCTCACAAACGATGCATCACACGAGTTTTTTTAAAGTATCACAAGGACACCTTAAAACATATTTCTAGTACAATTGCATCGAAAAGCACAGTCCCTCCAGAGATGACTCCAGCGCACACCGGTGTGTGTGACCGTTTTTACCCCTAGGCCTGTGCTGGTGTGAGACGGTCCTGCCAGCACTGACCGTGCAGAAGCTGGTTGTCCGCTGTCCTCCCCTCCTCCCCAGCCCAGCCTACCTGCCAGCTTGCCGCGCCTCCTGGCCTCCGGGCGCGGGGCCGGGGCCTGCGTGGACTCTGTGGACGCTCTGGGGGACGCGGGGCGGACAGTGGGCTCCCAGGAGAAGGTGTGGCCCGCGGAGCACTCCCACACGAGGCCCCCGTCCCGGCCTCGGGGCCCGCGGAGCCCGGGCACCAGGCTGCATTCCTGGCTGTGCGCGTGGGACAAGAGCACCAGGCTCTGCAGGCCCTGGTGCAGCCTGGGCTCCGGACCTGGAGGGCGGTGCGGGTCAGGCCAGGCCGCGCCGCTGGGAAGAATGGCCCCTGCTCCCCCCCAGCACCCAGCACCCACCTGCGCAGAGGACGCAGCCCGGAGAGGCGAACCTGCGGATAGAGGCTGCGGTCAGAGCTCACAAGGCCCGCCTGGGCGGTCAGCCCACAGGACCAGGCATAGACGCTGGCCTGGGGGAGGCCAGGGATGGACCGGGGGGTTGGGGATGGACTGGGGGACTGAGGATGGACTGGGGAGGGCTGGGGATGGACTGGGGGAGGCCGGGGATGGACTGGGGGGCTGGGGATGGACTAGGGGACTGAGGATGGACTGGGGAGGGCTGGGGATGGACTGAGGAGGGCTGAGGATGGACTGGGGGAGGCC